ATTTCTCACAAAACAAGAATAGCCGTTTATTATGCAAGTAGAACAGAGTGTTCCGACAAAATTCTTTAAAAAGTTCGTTTCGTTCATCAACTTAGTGTATGTTCATCAAAGTAAAACGTTTCGTTCATCAACTTAGTGTAGTTTTTTCCAGGTTTTGTTCAACAGCCATAGTAATAAAAACAAGCAGGACAACATTTTTTTTCTGAAAAAATGACAAAAAAAACCACAAAAAACATTATTATAAACTTTTAAAAAATCAAACTTTTTTAATTTTATTTTTTCGCAGAAATTTTTTTTTTAATTTTTGAATTTCTTGAATCCCAAAATCGCATAAAAATCACCAAAATAAAAAAACGTTTTAGTCGGATAAAAATAAATTTAAGCATTAAAAAGCTATTACAAACTGACTAAATTAAGTACACATTGGCGAAATTGAACTTCGCACCACTTGCAAAACAAAAAATCACCAACTTGTGAAAAAAAACTTAAAAACGCCAAACAACAGCGCCCGAATTTTTCATATGTTTGTCTCATATTGAAACTCCATTTTGATGAAAATCTTGGGTTAAACACACCAACCAGCATTGAATTAGCATAAAAAATTACCGAGCGATAGCTATGCAGACAAAACGGGATAAATGGTCCTAAAAACCCAAACGTGGAAAATTTAAAAGCAAAAAATGATGAAATTTTTTATTTTTTTTTGTCAAACATTACATATGCCATTAATTTGAATCGATTATCTAGCAGGGTTCTCAGACATCACGAGGAGGTAGGACAAAAAGTTGCTTTGAACGAAAAAATTATCCAAAAGAAAAACGCCAGCAATAAAACTGTCGTCCATTTAATTTCTTTTTCGCTATGATCAAGTTTGGTAAGTAAAAAAAAACAAAATAAGTAAATCATATGAAAAGAAAAATAAAAAACACTATAACAAAGCATACCAGAACAATGTGTTTTTTGAAACAAATTGAACAAACAAACCAAACTTGTTCTTTTGAAAAAAAAATGTTCTGAATTTTACGATAAAAGAATGAAAAACAAAAGGATTTTAAAGGTGGTTTGAAATCTGATAGCAATTAAATTTTCCTCAAACTGATTCGCTTGCTTAGAGAATTTATCTTTCTACAAAAATAAAGAGGCTAGAATGCTTTTAAAGCAAAATGGACATCATTTGACGAAAAAATTGCTTAAACTTTACAACAAGAAAATTGCGAATAAACTCATTACTTTAATCATTTCCACTGAACAAATTAAGATAAAAACAGCAAGTCAATCAAAAAGTACTCAGTAAAAAATTCGAAAACTTTTTTTGAAAGGAGAAAAATCTCGAAAAAATCTGAAATCTTCGAGAAAACTTTCAAAGTTTTTTCTAACGTTTTTCAAAGGTCAGAGAAGTGATTTTAAATTTCCAAAGATACCTTTTCAAACTTTTTTCTACGCAATTACCATTCTGTGACCAAACATTTTTTACGCAAAATGTCTAGTTGCGGTTGCATTACCCTTGCATATCGCAAGGGTAATAAATCAGCGTGCTCGCTTGCTTTACTTGTTCGAATGTCGACGAATGATCAAAAATTTCAAACCAATTCTTCTCGACCCTGGGAGTCACGACTGAAAGAATTTTACACAGAGGAGAAGCTGCGTTTCGCAAACACTTGTGATAACACGACCAAGAAGCAGCTCTATCCAGACTGTAACGTGCGCACTGAAACATAACATTGGTTAGTCAATAAAAGTAAAGCCCGTTGGGGCCCGTTGACAAAAGTGAAAACCTCGGCCCGGCCCGGCCCGGCCCGTTGAGGCCTACGGGCGGCCCGGCCCGGCCCGGCCCGTTGACAAGTATGGCTCTATCAAGTGACATAAGAAAAAGTAGAAATAAGCCTCAAATTTGCAAAAACATGAGGATTAGCAAAAACTCGAACTATTTTTGAAAATATGTTAATTTTGATCAAATCTGATATCACATGATGAATCACTCGAACCATGCTGACAAACTTTCGTGGTACTTGATTAACCTAGAAAACAAAAATGAAACTAAAATGAATACAAAGTTCTGCCCAATTTCATTGATCGAAAAACAACTATGAAATTAATTTTACAAACCAAATGCACCGAAAATCTTCCACGAACTAAATGAACCGTTCGATGAATCTTACACAAACGAAACGAACCAAAAAAGTATTTATTTTGGCTCAATTCTGTTGAATCAGCGAAAATTCAAATCAAAATATAAAAGTTTTAATCTGTGTTAGATAATGGAATGATTGTAAAAAGCAAGGAAAACCTTTTACACGTAGAAAATTATAACTTCCAGTTATACTGTTTAAATCCTCGCAAGTGTAAGGTTGAATTTGATACCTAATCAAACACTGCGAGATTATAATGGAATTATAGGGAAAAGCACGAGAGTTGATTTACTTGTGATAAAAAAGTACCAGCTATTTAGTGACAATTTTTCAGGTACCCAATTTTGCTCAGAAGTACTTTAATGAAAAGTATGAACTCATATTTGCGTTTTTGTTCAAAAATTTTGACATGTGTCAGTAATGATACTCAAAAGTTTTTGTAACTTTATGGTATTTGCTGCTAGCAAAACGCTTGAAATAGGTTTAAGTGCATTTTTGACGAAATTTATTCGTATTTTTCCAGTATCAAAATCTTGAATTTTAAGCTTGCAGTTTGAAAATGAAATCTAATATTTTCAACAAAATAGATAATAAAGTTAAGTATAAAAAAATTGGCGCTATTTTAACTGAGACAATGGCACTTTTTAGAACTGAACAAGGAAAAGACCATCATACGAGCTGTTCATTTTTTGCTGAGAATCGTAGCGCCTCTGGTACATGATATTCTACTACATTTAATTGACTTTTTATAAGGTTTGCTAAAGCTGACTCGCCGCAAAGTAACGAGCCCGAATCATGAAGGTCATCGACTCTTTAACATTTCAATTAAGCTTAAGAAGCGGATACTTAGACGCTTCTCAAGCTCGTCTCTTTATTTAGACCTGTTATTGCGTTGTTTTTTGTTTCAGAAGAATCGTAGTTACTAGACGACGAAATAAAACATTCAGTTTATTATTTTAATTCGCAACAACATAAAAATAGGATAGATTTATCAGAGGAATATTAAAGCAAACAAAATCAAATAGAAGAGTTTCAACATATCAAAAAATCACTTCAAACTTAGCCAACGGAAAGTTGGAAAAGAGTGAAAAAACAATAGCACAAAAGAAAACTCCAATTGTTTTCAGGTTTAAGATAAGGCTTTTAACCTCTTTTAATTTCCAGAACAATTTATTAATGACACTTTGTTCATCGATTCCTAACAACGTCCAAAATTATTGAAATAATTTTTATATGAACATATCTAGACTTATATTATCACCACTACTGCATGGCAAAAAAGTAGTCACGAAGACTACTAAAAACCTTAAAGAGAAAAATTACCAAGTGCACTATCCACCCTAAATCAAAATACCTCCATAGACCGAAAATGCTAGTCATACAATTCGATAAAATAAGTATATGAAAAATTCTAATCATACAAACTTTATAAATTTTGCTGAAAAATTGTCATGGATATTTCGAAGAACAATTTTCTTGCTTTGGCATAAAAGTCGGTTTATTGTACTAAGAAAACATAAAAATTTTTTGTCAAAAAATGCTAATCATACAATTTCCATATTTGAGAATTGTATGACTAGCATTTTTTGATGGCAACAAAAAAAAATTTTGAAATTGCCCTTAGTAATTTTAAATTGCGCCAAAGTTTCGTGTTTTTTTTTCAACCGCAAATCAAATTTTGTAAAAAACTTTTTGCATAGAAAATTTAATTTTTTTTCGTGTGCATAACGTATTCCTGGATACACTAATTTTGGATTATTTTCCTTTTTGCCAGAAAGTCTTTTTTTAAAAACACTGAAAACTCCTATTTCTTTGTATGGCATGTTTCTGTGCGCCTTGATCAATTTCTAATAATTTAAAAATTCAAATTTTAAAGAACACCATCGAAGAATTTTGCAAAACTTACAAGTTTGTTTCTTTCGTAATATCATTTTAAATTCAAGACCGTCCAACCTTTGGTGCTTTGAGTAGGCAAAGGTCTTTGTCACTTGCGTTCGGTTACAAAAACAGCCCAAAATTTCTCAGAAATTAAATTTAGAAGAAAAAAAAACAATTTGGTTTATGGAATAAATACTTGCCGTAGAATTTTCAAATAATAGAAAAATGCCTGTCAGAAAGATTTGAAAAGTTTTTTTTGACAAAAAAACAGGTTTGAAATTTATTTATGCTTAATGTGAGCCGTGAAAACTTAGTTCAATATCAAATTTAGTTTTGCACAGTTTAAGTTAATTATTGGCGCTATTCTGGGAATTACTGTCAAATATGTCTTAGTTTTTGCTTTTCGTTCAAAATCTTTCATAACACCGCGCAGAAAAAACATTAATTTGAAAAAAAAATTAATGTATTTTTTACAGAGGCGAGGCTGCACTTAGCAATCACTAGCGAGAACACGACAAAAAGCAGCTCAATAAAAACAATAGGAAAAAGCAGAAATAAGCCTCCAATTAGTGAAGATTCGGATACGTCTCGGATTCCATCTGCGACCTAGAGATTATGAGTCTCACGCATTAACCTGTCGGCCACCGAAGCTTAATAAATCAAAACCATTAGCCACTATTAAAGCAGAGGACATATTCTATGCAATGTCAAATGCTACAGATCGTCAATATAGCAGATGTGCCACCAAATAATAGAACACTTTTAATGGACACTTTTATTCGCGAGTTAGATTAGAAAAAAATGATCGTACTGAGCACTAACGCCCGCAATCTGGTTAGTGTAAATACTATGATCGGAACTTTCTGTGCTACCTGCACAGTAACCGACAATCCTTTTTTAGTTGAATTCGATAATTTTGCAGCAATAATTATCTGGACATTAGTAGCAACTTCAACATAAGTTTTATTTTTTCTCTAACTCAAAACAAAAACATCCATGGAATAAATTTAAATTTTGCAGCCACCATGATTTTAAATGTATTTTTACAGGGTGAATTTGATATTTACTTTAACGATATTAAAATAACTGACACCAAATAGGCTATGTATCATCATATCATACACCAAAAACTGACGAAAAAGTTCATGAAACATTTACAGAAATTATTCAACTTTCCTCTCAATTACTTCGACGCCGAACGCTTTTAACAATAAGATGTTAAATACAAGGCAATTAATTTGAAACTTCATAAACATCAATAAATCTATAGTATTTATCACATTTATTTTTCAAGTCTATAACAACTTATCGCACTTTTTCATGATCGTTTCGTTATAAACCATATAACTATCCCAAGAGTAATTAAACTCGTAGTCAGTATTTACAGTCCAGTGTTTCCTTTTTTAATTGTTCACATTTTTTACTTTAAAGTAAGGTGGATGATTAACGAGAGCTGTTCATGATTTTAAGTCCAGTTGCGTCCACATCTATGGCTGCACATTTGTCCAGTTTGCACAGTTGACCTTTCATCTGTGGACTGTACCCGGCCCCACAGAGTCCGCACTTCGACACCGGCCTGCCTCTGGAAAAAATATGTATTTCAACGCAAACCACATAATTTTGAAAACATTATTTGAGGTTTTCCGCACTACTGTAAAAAAAAATCTAAATTCACTTTGTTTTAAGGCCTTGCTGGATATTATACAAACAACCTGAATTATCTGACGCAGAATTTGATTGTAACAAAAGTTGCATATTTTGTTAGAACTGTTGGATAAAAGAATTTTTTTTTTCATTCTTCATTCTTTTCAACCATAAAACAAAATTCTCTTGCCGCAAATTTCTCATTTTATCGAGACCTATTAATAATAAACATGTTGGGATTACAGGCAAGGCTGAGTTCTTATCTATCTCTCGGTCCATTATAAGCTACTATGTTTATAAATAATATAAGATTACTTGTAGATGGGTTTGAATGTGGCAGGACAAATGTCGAAAGGGTTGAACTGATCATAGTCTAGCTGGTGCGCATCTGTCATGTCTTGTTCACACGCCATAAGAATCTTACGGGTCTGAAACATCACCAATTGGCAAGCTCTTTTACACAGTGACAGAAATTATCGTAGCCAACAGAAAGTTGGAATAGGGTCAGTGAACTCAAGGAAAGCAAAAAAAGTAACCTTTTAGAACAATTTTTAGCTTTCAAAAAAACACACTGGGACTATAATGAGAAATAGCTAAAAATCTAGTGATTCTCAAACGAAATAACAAGTTAAAGTTGAAATTTCGAAAGTGGACATTTAAAATTCAAATTAGCACCTATTAGCCTTTAAACATTCTTTTACACAGCATTTTTCTGAAGTGTTATTTCTATCCCAGAAAATGATTTCTATCAGTAATCGACCTAAAACTTTCGGGAGACGATTTTTCGATTTTTTTAAAAATCAACCACATTAATTTTAACCCACACTCTATCAAGACTCTATATTACCAAAAACTTCTAGAGCTGAAGGCGAGTTTCGAAGAAAAAACATCAATGAACGCAAGTAAACAGAAAAAACACTGATCTGTTTTTCGAAAGTTTCGAAATTCAAAGAACAAAGCCAACAGATAGTTGGAACTTTCGAATTTCAAGGAAAAAATAGATGGCCTTGAACCTCTTTGAATTTCTAGAACAATTCATTATTTAAATTTTTTTGATAAAATTAATCCAATTTGAGAAAACTGGATCAATATGTTAAATTTCTAAGAAAACTGGATCAAATTCCACTTTCGAAACTAGAAAACGATCTCCTTTTCTGTGACCTTTACACTTTTGCTGTTCGCCAGTGGAGTTTGCATTTCTTTTAACAAAGAATTTAAGAAAGCAGAAGTCAAACCGCCAAAAGTCATATTAGAGTGTGAACAAAGTTTAAGACTTTTCCTGAAAAAAACCCATCAAGACCTATAAAAGTCAAAATCATTTTGCTCTTTTGCACTTAATAATTAATTTCAGGAGGAACCGAAAATACTTGGTCAAAACACACAAAAACCTTAGAGGCAAATTTCTGAAAAGTCAGTTTTTTGAAATTTGGGTTTCCACAGTCCAATTTTTTGAGACGGACCATCGAGGTCTCCGAAAATCTTGAAAATGAGTGTTGCCGTCAAAACCCCCGCACACTCCGCTGCGTATCCGGACATACCTTGGTGGCCAGCTCTGGCCTGGGTCCCAAGTCTAGGAGTCTTTTTGCAAATGAAGCGGCCATCTTCTTATTTTTCAGTTTGAATGACAGATTGAGAGCCGTCTGCAGAGTCAGTATCTGGTGGTTCACGTCTAGTTTGCAATGGGAGAAATAGGCCGCCATCTGAAAAAAAACTGAAATTAAGACGGAAAAGAAATTACAATTAGCCAAATATGTTTGTACTAAAACAAAACAGCTCATATGTTGTATACTTTTAGAACTTTAATCTGTACTAGAAAAAAAACCAATAGACCAGCTCGTCAGCTCTTTCCTGAGATCCACTGATGTGCCTCTAGTTCAACACTACATGCATTTTTTGTTTTAACTTTTGAGATCTAATGCTGATTCACCCTTAAGCAACGAGCAAGGATCATGCTGGGTCTAGCAGCACCGCCCTTTCGACTGAGAGACGGAATCGGAATATCAGCCACTTGCGAGGGGAAATATAAACCACTTTTCCGTCACTAACCAGACTGCCTTAAGCAACTACCCCAATTAACTCCCCCCCCCCCTACACATACCTCAAACTTTCAATTTTCTTAGTTGTTTTACGTGTGATTATGGCTAAACGCGTGATGTTGCGATATAAGGTATGAAGAACAAATCTGTTCACAATAGTTAAGTTGTTCACAAAGCAAAATTGCATTACATTATAACAACGTTAAAATAGTTTTTCACAACTGAAATTCAAATGCCGGGGAGGGGGGGGAGGGGGGGAGGTGGAAAAGAGCAATTAATTCAACAAGCGTTTGAAGCTCACTTACTTCGCAGCTTCTTTTCATGTCCTCCAGACCCTCCTTGGGAAGTGCCTTTCTCTTGGCCTCCATCGTCAGTCCAATCAGATACTCCCGACAGATCTCGATCAACTTCTGCGCCTGGAAAAAAACAACAGAAAAATAACTTTTCTTGACATCTGTGTTAAGTTCTTCCAATTAATGCCAGAGAAAAAAGCAAAACGAAAATCACGTGAAAGAAACAAAAAACTTCAAGAATTGATAACGCGATATATAATTATTGCTAGATTTTCGGAAATTTACAGAAAAAGGAGACTTTAACGGTTAATTCTTGTTTTTTTTTCGAGATTTTAGTTATGCACTAGTTGTATAGACAAGGAGCAATCAAATATACGCCCTTACCTCTTCTACTTCTTGTCTTCGATCCACGTTCAACATCGGAATCCACAACAAACCATCTCGGAACCTCTCGATTGCTTCGTCAAACTTGCCCCCGGTCGTCGACTGCTTCGCCGCCACTAGAATCGCCTTAACCTGATCCAGGGTCACTCCCACAGCCGGCAGAGAAGGCGTTTTACCTAAAAAGAAAAATTTTTGGTTGAGAATTCAGGTCCGAAAAAGTTCAGTTGATAAAAAGATCTGGGTCTTATCTGCTATACGGCCCAAAATTTCCAAATTGTTCATGGAGCTTCTGCTGATATTGAGAATCTTGATTTTCTTTTGCTGATAATAGTTTATTATCAGCTGTAAATAATTTCAACTAATCGGATTCGACATTTATGATGCAATTCTCAAAAAAAAAAAAACAAAGAATTGAGCCGTATAATAGAAAAGACCCAGATCTTTTTATCAACTGAACTTTTTTTAGACCTGAATTCTGAATAGACATGAAACTGAAGATGGCGTTAAATAACATAGCCAACAGTTCAAATAGAAGAAATCACGATCAGCTCTCTTAAATTTGGTGGACCAATTCTCTCATCTGCATCCCACTTTCATTACGGGTATTTGTGATGATACATAAAGGGAGGTGGAACCCTTCGCAGTTTAAACAATCTGGTCAATAGTCGTATGATCAACCCGATCATGTATCTCACAAAATGTCAAATAAGAGTATTCTATTTAGAGCGACTGAAAATTTTTAGGATCAAGTAAATTTTACAGGAGAACCTGCAGTTAAACAAACAAAACAAGAGAATCATTTCCAGCAGAACTTTCCGAAAAAAAGCCGCTCCCGCAAATTAAACTAAGCGAACAATTAGCTTGTTTTTTTATTATTAGCCCCCGGTCCTGCTCAATGCAGGAATACTGACGGACAGTGTTATTAATTCTTTGTCAGGGGAGGGTTGTTTATTTTTTTATTAGCCCCCGGTCCAGCTCAATGCAGGACTAACCGTGGGGGAGGGTTGTTAATTAGCATGTTCATTATCACCGAATTCGCTCACCTCCAATTGGATCCCGCCAGTTCCTCAGAGGGTAGGTGTAGTTGGCGGGAACTCCATGGGTGGTTGGGAGCATCATACGAGATCTCTGGTAGGTACTCATGAAGTGTGTCTTGTACGCGGTGAAGTCAGCGATTCCAAGTTGGTCGCTCATCAGCTAAATCACAGAAGACCTCACTGCAACTATTGATTCCCCAAAAAATTTAGAACACTGCCAAATGTAGGAATAAAATTTCAAAAACCACAATTGACCTTTCATGGCTCATCTGTTCACAAAAATTAGTTTGTCCACCATGCCAATTTTCATTGCATTTTGACAACATTAAAACAATTTTTTAATCTTAAAATTTTAATGTTGGTGCAGTGGTAGAAAAGCTCCTTTCATAATACTTATTATTTCTGAATGATTAACTAAAAAGTTGAGCATCTATTATTCGCGGTTTGTCTACAATTCATCGCAAATGACAATTCATGGCAAGTGACAATTATTTAAAAAGCTACCATTCGTCGCAACATATTTAATCATCACACAGAAGCGTAGCTGCGCTTCGCAAACATAAATGACAAAACGACAAAATTAGCTTTAAAAAAAGCAAAAAAATTAAAATGGGCGTTTAAAATAAGGTTTTTTTTGCTGTTGCGGATTCAAAATTACGACCAGATTTGAGTCGCACGACCTCGCATCTGCGCTGCGGGCCTTTGAAGCCTTACTAACACTAGCCACCAATAAAGCAGCTACATAGGCCAATAAACTGCTATTTTTATGCAGCAAAAGGGGAACCAGACATGAATAGACACTAAGTCTGCATGTAAAAAACTGCTCGACAATAAATGAAGGCATTCACGCCAACTTTGCACGTAATAAATTGGAAAGCATGAAGCCAACTTATGCATTTCAAAAAATAAGCCTGATATAATGAGTTGGAAAATTTCTGAAAAGAAGTGATTATTATTGTACTGATATCTGAAACAAATGGCTTTTTTTGTTCATTCGATATTTTACACATAACCATATAACATTTGAAAAAAAGTAAGGATTGCAATAAAACAGAAAACAAAAACTGACTGGTTTTTTGAGAAAACTTCAACTTTCTCACTTGGAGGAACATTATATGCCATTAAAGCTCTTTGAATTTCAATTACAACTTATAGTTTTGATAAAATGAAACCAATTTGAGAAAACATGATCAATGGGTAAGTTTTTAATTCCACTGGGAAATCCGAACATCAAAATCACGCTCGAACCTAGAAGTCAATCACGTTTTTCGTGAACTCTACACTTTTGTTGTTCGATAGTGGAGTTGACTCTGAGAAATTTGTCTGATAGTGGAGTTTGCCGCTGTTCAACAGTGGAGCTTGTCAAGAAAAACAACTGAATTTAAAACGAAATCAAAGTCAAACCGCGCGTAATAGTCCGAAATTGAGCGTGAACAACTTAAAAGACTTTTTTTGAAAAAAAAAACATAAAAAACACAGAGACCTATATAAAGTACTCACTGCGTTCATTACTGTTAAAAACATCAATTGTTTTAACTTAATAATAATCAAATGTCAAAGCACATGCTATCAAAAAGTCGTAAAGGTGTCCCAAAAGTGGCACCAATAACTGCGATTGAGGTTGGAAGAAAAGAATACTCATACTATTACACTACTCTCGGTTAAAGCTATTCATTGCCAAGTAGTTCTGAGAAACATTCCATATCGATTCCCACGCACTTTATGGCAAGGCCGTTTGATGCTGTGCTTTGCTATAATTGTATATTTTAAATTGGTTTTCATTTTTATTATGCTAAACTGTTCTGCGACGGGTTGTCGCTTTTTGAAATCCTAACGCTTTTTGAAATTGTCGCGTGCGACGAACTGTCGACTCACGATTAATTGCTACTGCTTAAAAATACTTTTAGGACCATAAAAGCTCATCTCAGTATTTGGCTAACAGCTAAATTTTTACGTTCAAGACAAAGCAGACGGGATAATTTTTCACGGTAAGCGACTAGTCTCTTTGTACTTTCCACGTAACAAAAAAAACGGGGCTAAAAACAACAAAAACAACAACAACAACAAGTCTCTCTGTATCTTACCCGCATAGCTGATTCGAATGCTCCGGCTAACACGTGATCAACAGCCAGTTGGGAATTATTGCTCCAGGACTGAGCAACTGAGGGTGCTTTGGTGGGAGCGACATAATAGCCCTCTCCATCTCCGGCAGCTTCCAGTTCTGCTCCCGCTGGCAAGTCGATATCTGCCAGATCAATATCGTCATCCACATCCCAACCGGGACCCTCGCTTTCTCTACCTGAAGAACGAAACACTCTATTCGCATAGGCTCAAAAATTATCAAACGGCACAACATTGCAGAAAGATTTTCAACCACGGTGACCTTAAACCGTACCTTTAACCATTATTTAGGTGACCTTGAACCATTATTTAGGTGACCTTGAACCATTATTTAGGTGACCTTGAACCATTATTTAGGTGACCTTGAACCATTATTTAGGTGGCTTTGAACCTTAACAGGTGAAAAGATACAAACAAACAAACCTTTGCGACCCTGTCGCGCATCTAAAAATAGAAGGTCATGAATGATAGAGATTCATAATATAACATTCTATATGGCAATTCAGAACTGTCAAATGGTAAAAAAGACCACTTTGGGATCTGAGGGAAAAAGAAAATTAATGTTGATTGGCGAAAATTGAAAACATAGCCAACGGATATTTGGAAAAGAGTATATGAAGGCAAGTAAACTTTCGATTTTCCGAGAAAAAAGATGGCCTTATGAACTTCTAAACAATTAATCATTCACCTTTTTTGATAAAACTAACCCAATTTGTGAAAACTGGATCCAGTAGCGTGCCGAGGGAGGGGTGCGCCCCTTAATTCTGGTTGCCAAATTTTTCTTAAGGGTCCCCGCTTTGGTATAACTTAAAGACATCCATTTTTTGGTGAACAACTTCAAATTTTTTCTAAGAGCGACTATGGCGCCATTATGACTTATTTTGAGGGGAGAACGCGCGCCGAAAAACGCAATTTTTTGGCCAACATTTTCCAAAAAGTGCCTAAAAATCATCGTCACCTATATAAGAGTCTGTACTACGTTCATAGGCTCTAAAAACTGGCTCTTTTTCATTCCGATAAACATCAATTGGATTACTACTTAACATATCAAATTTAGGTGACGAACATACCAAGAAAAACTATTTCAGTTGTTGGTGAAGTCTGGCAGTAAAACATCCTAAAAATTTAAGGACAAGCAAAAATTACCACCTTCTTCATCGCCTCTGGCGTCTCCTGAGGTTCCAAAGTCGTCATCCAGCACCAGGTCTGCATCTTCGCCCCAAGCACCCCCTTCCACTTCTTCAGCGCCTGCCAGCAACTCACTGCCCCCCACAGCTGCCGCTCCCATAGTATGTCCAGTGCCCATACCCAGGGATCCAACCGGAGCCTGGAACGAAAAATAATACAATCAAAGCCAGTATTCTGTTAGTTTTAATCATTTATGAAGATTTACTCTTCTTGAAAACGACTATAATAATATCCTAACGGTATAAAAAGAGCGAAATACGAATGTGGAAACTCCCAACCACTTACAAGCTTTATCGTAAAAGATTCTTCTCAAACCTTGTCGAAGAAGCCAGAAGCGACACTGAGCAGAGGCCAATTTTGCTCCTGCAGCTGGATGGGGGGAGGGGGTTGGAGCCACATGGCTGCCGGGTGTGGTTCGGGTAGCTTCTCTCCCTCGGCGAACATGGTGTTCTTGATGAACTCTGCTTCCTCTTCTAGGCCGTGAGTCACCGCAGTCAAGTAGGCCAGCGATTCTGTGCACATCAAATGACTAAATTCTTTTAAACTCACACATTAACTCACTTTTCCATCCGTTCGTTTTTCAGGAAATCAAAAAAACGGATTTATTTTTTTCAGAACATTTTTTACTTTATGAGTTTCGAAAAAAAGTATATATCATCATCGACTCTTCACCCATAGGTGAAGCAGAGCTTCGCATTACTTGCCATACAGAACAAATACAGTATTTCAGCTAGCCGAAAGGAAATGACGATAAAGTCCTAATGGGCGTGATTCGGATTCCAAAAAAAATGAATAGAAAATTGAGCTGATTATTTTCAGTTTTCAGATCACGTTGTACAAAAATTAGGAGATTGATCTCCCTACTAAATTTTAATTCTGTTTTACCTATTATTACCTCTTACTTTTGCATTTTTTCATCTACTTTAGTCGCCCTTTACTTAAAAAATATTCGCAAAACAGAAAACAAAATTCATTATCTTTTAAATCAGAGAAGCCAAAACACTGTGCGCTATTAGCACATCAACCGACTATTCCTGTTTTTGTACAACTCTCACTAGATAACGAGCAATTTAATCTTCCTCTGTTCTCACTTTGGTTTGAGTTCTTGAGAACTTTGACTCTCTCCTTCACATCGCCGAGAATAAGTGCAGACAGGTAGTGTCCACTGCTGTCCTTCCTGATCTCCGCTATCTTCATCATCTTCTGCAGCTTCTCTATGTTCCCTACACACAAAAATAACAAAGTTATTTTCAAGCCAAAATTTAAAAACTTACATTCTATGAAATTGTACGTTTACAATTTAGATCGGCTTGGAAGAGTCGGTTGGCATCTCGGATCTTGTCAACAATTTCCCCCTATTGCAATGGGGGGAGATTCGTAACAAGGTACCTAATTCGTATATGCTTAACATATCAATTCGGAATGCGTGGAAAGAAGCCGCGGAGATACAAAACGGACTATCCTAAGACAGGCTGCACAGCATTTGATCGCTCCTCAGCGATTCGCAGAACCGAAATTATTTTTATTATACAGGTAGAAACTAAGTTAAGACGATTTATCTACAAAAAAAGACCAACAAACGAGCTTTTTGGCTCTACATCGAGAACCGCTGCTCTGATCCTGTTTAAGAATTACATTCAAGTTTTTAGGCTTTTTCTACAGGTTTGAATCGATTCATACCAGTGATAAGATATAGGAAGTTGAGTTTCTCGTAGTTCTTCGTCCTCTGGTAGGCCATCTCCACTATTTGGTGGTTGCCCTGGAGCAGTCCGATCTCGGCCAGTTTCTCCCAGCACGCCTTCTCTTCGAGCTGCTTGGCTGCATCCAGAGCAATCTACAGAACACACTTTAAAGCATAATTTAAGTAGTTGCAGAATGTATTTTCAAATTTTCTTTCCATTTAAAAAAAAACATAATTTTTCTCAACGGATCAAACGTACCACCTCCCGCAATTCAGTTGTGCGGGCAACAAAAAGTCTTAGTTTCAGAAACTAACTTTGAGTTTAACATAATTTGATAAAAACATACAAGTTTAATTGCCAGGAATAAGTTAAAACAATAATTTAGTTCAACCATAGCCCCGTTAATTATCGGCATAAAATTGCAGTTCCAAAAAAAGACCCATGAAGCAATAAACTGCGCGGCTACAGTATTCAAAAATAAGTATCCCGTTATTCAAAACTAAATCTGAAAATAGAGCTTCGAAACAAATTGAAAAACAAATCCACAAAATAGCAATCGAGTATGTTTGCTTTCACTCAACTATTATTTAGTCAGTTTGACTTGATTTGTTTTGCATAGAGACTTACTTTGTCTTTTAAACGCAATTTTTTCTCAACAAATGAAATTTATTTTTCCATTAACATAAAATGTTCACAACTTTTTTTTTGAAAAAGTTTAATCAAGTGTCTTTACTGTTTTGCTTAACGTTCCGACACTGAACAGCGAAAGTTATTTAACAAACCTCCAGATTTCCAGACTCAATTGCGAGTGCAAATCGAGTCCTGTTGTCCTTGACAAAGTGGAGAGCCACTTCTGGGTATCCCTTCTTCTGCAGATAGCTGATGATTGACTGGCCCACCAACTTACACGTTCTCACCTAAATTATCACTCCATGTAAATATATCTGCATAAATTAAAACGTCGACATTAAAACTAACTTCATTTAGGACTTTTTAAAGTTGAATACCTATCGATGTATTTTTTACAAAGGTTTAGATATTTATTTACAAAACTTATCCTCTTTCTGAAATTTCAGAACTGTGAAGACCTAACTTTGAAATTGATCATTCAACAACAATTTTAAACAAACAATATTTTTCTAATGAGCTTATACCGTGCTGCATAATACACTCACCATATGAAGGACTTCGTCGTATCTTCTGTTCACCAATGCGAGTTTGAACTTGAACTCAGTTGGGTCAATGGTCAGAATCCTTGGCCGCTGCTCCCTGTCCAGACAAAACACACTATTTCCTTTGATCTTGGTCAAATAAACTGGCAGATCCAGAGTCCTGATGATTCCGTGATCTCCATTGATTAAGGTGTACTTAATATGGTTGCTAGTCGTGTATATAAACACTCCACTTTCGTCCCAGATTCCCGACTTTACTCGGATACTTTCGTTCACTTGACACATGATCTCCATTTTTTTGTTCACGATTGTTATCATGTTTTTGCTGAACAAAGCCAAGTAGCTCATGTCAGTTGACCAAATCGCATACTTTACTTTGGCCATTTTCACGGCTGCGAGAGGTCGACGTTGTTGGACATCGTAAAGAGTCACTTGATCCAGTTCTTTCAAGAGCAACATTCCAGTTCCAGCGTAGAAAATGTCAGTTACGTTGGGAACCGTGATCTTCTTCATAATCTCGTTCTTCAAGTTCTTGATTTGAATCTAGAAAAAAAAACACTCAAAAATTATGAGTCGATTTATGGCTCATGCAGTCAAAATCAAACAATAGTATTTTGGTCCTAACCAGTTAAGAAACATCCAAAGGTATTCACATCCATTAATGCCTATATACATCTGTCAAATACTGAAATCTGTTTTAATTGCGAAAAAATAGTCAAAAACGTGTGCAATGTTTCTACTCAAAATGATTACATATGAAATTAAAATTGATTCATTTTTTTAGTGAAACAACGAATATTTATTGAACATTTATTTTAAACAAGCGAACAATAGCCTAATTACTAACTGTAAATTCACAGCAACATCACAAAAACAACTAACCGTGTTGCTCTTATCGAGAACTGCGAATCTATTTCTTGCAACCCAGACAGCTGCGATGCCTGCCGACCTCTTCCCATCAGTAGAGTCAGGCTGATTTGATGAATCGATCTCTCTTGGTAGGTGGTACAATTCGTAGATGCTGTTGTCCAGATTGGAGGCTATTCTAGTCACGATCAGACACGCCCTCTCCGAGGCATTGTAGGAGAGCGAAAACGGATTGTATTTGCTCCTAAAACAAACAACTACTTCAAACATTTATCTAGCGAAGTATCATACCTTTGAACGGGAGAATCTCTCTGTCTCAAAATTTATGTTCAGCAATTTGAAATAAAGATAAGAATCAGCCATTTTTGGGGAAATTTGAAGTCCGTAGAATGGTTGAAAATTTCGGACTAAGGATTTAGTGAAATTTTCCCGATTAAAAGCCCACAATTTTAACATACTAAAGTTTCCTCTCTCTTCGTATGTTTGTAATGATTTTGTTTGTAATGATTTGGTGTGTTTCACATTTTGTTTGTAATGATTTGGTGTGTTTTCCTATTGCAGCGCATGAACATTTTATCCTCTTAGTTTTACGCCAGTATTTATAAAATGTATTTGCAGCATATGTCGCCGTTTAAAAATATCATTCTACTTAACTGTAAAATTTCCGATAAAACATTAAATGAGTTTTAAAAACATTAAAAGAGTTTTAATTAAGAGAGCAAAAAAAGCTTTGTCAATTTCGTAACAGATCGATAAATATTCAGATTTGCACCGACCTCTGTTGCTTATGACCACATTGTTTAACTTCGTTTCGAAATTGTCTAAAATACAGTCAGCCTTTTCAGCAATTCATTAATAGTGAGGTCAAGTTCTTGGCGAAAGGCAAAAAGTTGCTCTCAAAGCTTTAGCTGCTACAATGCCATTTCTATGTTAAGTCTTTCGAAAAAATAGCGCTGAATAAAACAAAAACGACAAAACTCAAAGCAAAGTCCATTTTTTGGAGAACGTGATACATAATAATTAATTCGATGTCAGTAGCATCTGATTAAGATATTAGTCATACTTACGCTCTGATTTGTAGAGCCGGGTTGTCTCGATTAGTTGCGAAGTCCAGCATTCTGATGTACTTGTCCTTGACATAATAGAGCTGGTTATCTCCGTGACTCACCGCAAACGCAGGTCTCTCCCGTTCCAGTTTGAACACAACCTAGAAACTTGATTATATGTAACAGGTAACGTTGAGTAAATTGGTCATAAAAACATGAACATTATGTAGCTTCTAGAAGACCGGGAGGAAAAAATTAGCATTTATATTGTTCTAATCCTTTTCATGTCAAGGTAAAACCATAGCCAACAGAAAGTTAGAAAAGAGTCAATAAAAAGGAAACCGAAAACTTGTTATTTTAAAAATCTTATTAAAAATAGATGGCTTCAAAGCTCTTTGAGTTTCTAGAACAATTCATTATTGACACTTTTTTAATAAAGGGAACCTAATTTGAGAAAACTGGATAATTAAATTTAAGTTAGCGACATACTAATCCTCCGTCATGTCCAGCCGCGAATATGTTCAGCGTTGGGTGGGCAGTCACAACCCAGAACCGATCATGATCTCGTCGGAATGTCTGCAGACAAGTTCTGAAAACACAAATTCAAAAATTACTGCAATTCAAATTAAGGATTATTCTCGAATTGCCATGTATCTATGTCTTATAACAATATACCTCTTGTTCATATCCCAGATTCGGATTGATTTATCTTCGCTGCAAGTAATGATGGTTTCCAACATAGGGTGAAAGAGAGCGCAGCATACATTATTATAATGCCCTCGGCAAGTGTCCACCTCCCATGCCTTCGACTCGTTCATCCGCCAGATCTTCACCATTCGGTCGTCGGCTGCGCTTATTATCAATGGAAGCGTCGGGTGAAATGCAACCCAGTTTACACCGCGGTCATGTCCCTCCAGAACGTGTTTAACAACAGCATCGGCAGTACCGAACAGATCCACCGAACCGGCAGAGGCCCTATGGGGATCCATGGCAACACTGGCACCCGGAGAGACGTTCTTCTTGCGCAACCCAGCTATATCCCACACACGAACTGTCTGATCAAGAGACGCAGACACCACCAAGTCTTCGGTAGGATGAAAGTTGGCACACATTACGTAATGGTTATGTCCAGTCAGAACGCTACAAACAAAGCTCACTGTCATCTCGAGCGAAAATCATTTCTTCTATTAGCTTTAAAAAGGAGTCTGCACCTACCTCACACAAGATCGGCTCTGCCAGTTCCAAATCCTTATAGTTTGGTCATCAGAACAACTTAGAATCCAAGGGTACTCGTGATGGAAGAAAGTAGTCCTAATGTAGTCAAGATGACCCAATAGAGTGAAGAGACATCTCTTTTGCTTGTAGTTCCAAACCTTGATTTTATAGTCGTCTCCACCAGATACGAAAAGCGGTTGTTGAACATGGAAATCAATTCCACGCACCGGTCCTGAAACAAAAAGAAACAAAGTTTAATTTGAAGAACGATTTCACGCTTTTCTAGTCGCATGAACTTTTAAGAATTGAACTCTAATTGAGGGATAGGATTAATTACCGTCATGTTCATCGAATTTATCTAGAAGCGTGCACATCCGGAAGTCCCATAATTGAACCACTCCGCTATGCAGACTAGCAAGCACCCACGGACGTTTTGGATGAAATGACAAGCCTTAAATATGTACAACATTTGAAGTCAGCGGTTTATTTGTTTAATCCGTTTCAAGGAAATCGAAAACTCACCTTTCACACGAGCAGTTTTCGTCTCAAATTTAGTCAGCATGTCTGAAAATTCTCACAATTTGTAATCAAAAAAAAACCGGATGCGAGCGTAACATTGCAAACTGGCGATTACAAAATAAACGGAAATCATGAAGTCATGACAATGTATTATAAAACATATATATTTGTTTCAAAAGGAAAAAAAATGCAGCATTAAATAACAGAATCTTAACTACTTGCGTTAGATCAACTTTTAGTATCATTAATCCAGCGGTCACCAAGCCGACAATTCATGGGTTGACACCCATTGAACCGAAAACAAAAATGTCAGATGTAACATTCACCCGGAATTATATACCGACTTCGTATGCTTTAAACCGTCTCTGCCAAAGCCAGTTCAACGAGAGGTTTACGTAACATCGGGACGACGAAGTCGCTACAAATAAAGGGCTAACCTGCCAAACCGCGCAAATTAACTCATTTACATGCGAAATAGCGAGCTCATGGCTGGGTCTCAATATCATCAGATCACGATGTCACTCCGACTACTTTTGTATTATAATATTAATTGTTTTGTAGGAATTTTAAAATGTTAATTCAAAAGTTTTCGCACATTTTGTGCATTGTAACAGTCGCCTACTTAAGTCACATATGAGGCTAAGAAAAATTGGCCCTATAACCATTGGCTCAAGAGTCAGGGACACGATCTCTTGTGTTTTTCTAACTCATGCGGTCGGTGCCAATTCGGTTCATTTGCGACATGAGACTACAAACCGTGTTAAAGCTTAAAGGCTACTACCAAAGTACCCCCCACTCTAGAAATAAGAACGTCCACATGTCCAGGTCTCAAAACACTTAAAACACGCGAACTCCGTTAAAAACCGAGTCGGAACTTTGAGCATACCATATAATAAAAATAAAAAGTTAATTCAAACGTTTTCGCACATTTTGTTCATCATTAGGATTAAAAAAATTTTACAACATTTACATAACGTTCAAAGATCTGAAAAATGAGAAACATGTTTAAAAATGCTTTAAAACTTTTTGACCAATCAAATTTAAACAACTAAAATTACATAATAAATTACGTAATCAATAGAACGTTTTCCTGTAAATTTCGGATATTTCTTTTTAGCTTTTTGTTCTTTCATGATTATAAAATTTCGATTTGGGTATATCTTTGATTCTGACTTATCAGTTTTTTTAACTTTTAGCCATGTTATACAAAGACTATAATTTTAGTGTTAATTTCCAGCTCCTGAATTCATCGCGTGTGTTGATCCTCGGCCTGTCCCTCCAAATATGCAAGGCCTCTAGTGTAAGTAGCTTATGAGTGTTGGCTGTTTGGTCTATAATATCTGACTTCAGCTCAGCAGTACGGCCTACCTCTTCATTACACTCTAACAAGTTTTGCCCTACGGGGGAGTCCCCGTTGCGGCGTTCATCGACCCTCGTGGCTAAATGTCTGACTGTCTGGCCGACATAGGTGGAGTTACATTCACTACATGTAAGCTTATACACCACTTTGGAACTCAGTTCAGAAGCAAAGGAAGTTCTGAGAGATGGCAAGCATGTAAATCCAAAAAGGCCAAATTACCGTTACTATCAAAATCTTCTATGGTGAACTGCAAGTTTGGATGCAATTTATAGGCAGCCTCGAGAACTAACCCAGGATTGCCCTTGACAGTTCTAACTATGTCGTCCACATATCTTAGAAAAACTTTGTACAAACTCTTTACATCAAGGGAGATTATACTCTCATCAGAGTCCAGTTCAGTTTTCTCCAAGATCTCCCACAGCCATTTGAGTGTTCGTTTCTATGTTTGCCTCCTCAATTCCATCAAAGTACTTTGCCAGTGTTTTTTTAGGTTGTCATAAGAGCTACCAGGTAAAAAAAAAGACAGGACGAAGTGGTGTGCCTTGTTTATGTACTTTTGCTAATCTATATAGTCTAGCCGGCTGTTCCCCCATTGATCTCAACCTAGTATACAGCACTTCGCTAATCTCATCCTTCTTTTTCATGGCGAGTAATTCCTTGTTTATGTCTTTTCCCATTTTCATGATCACGCTGTCTGTCAGATTCTTCCTCTCACTATATTGTTCTGCCGGTAATAAATCTTTCAGTTTCTTCTCAGACGTCTCCTTTTTCATTACACAAAAACCCACGCCCTTATCAAACGGCACTGCCAGAAGACGGTTTTCCTTCAAATACTTTCTGGCTTTTTCAACACTTTTGTCAGAGGGGGTCTGTTTCACATTCTTAGCATATCTCTTTGAGGCTGCTTCAATCTCACATAATTTTTCTCCGAGTAATCTATTTAACTTCAATTCAGACAAAAAACTGTCAATGTTTGCAAGGAAGTGAACTTCATTGAATTTGTCTAGTACCGGATGTTTTGGTCCATTTAAGACTTCCCGCACCCAAAGCGGCAAAACCACTTTATCTAAAACAATAACTGAACTGACCTTTCATCCAAGTTTTTTAATGGCCTATCCTGTCTTTCCGAAAGTTTGTTAAGCTTTTTCTTGTGTCGGCTTATCAGGTTATTGCCACTACACCTTGCTTGCAGGTTCAGATAGAGTATTACCGAAGGCCAGCACTTCTCACTACCTCCCTTGCTTTTGCTAGGTTACCCGATGCCTTGGCCCTATCCGCATGTTCCTGGCTTATCTCAGCTCTCAAAAGTTAATTGTAAGCTGTGCACCGCTTGATACGAAAAAAAAACACCGTTATCAGGCACGCGAAACCGTCAACAAATAATTCTCAGGAAACTGCTATTAAATTTATTAAAATGTTTTAAATAATCTAACACAAGTTTTCAAGTGAGTTTTCTTTTCAGGACCAATCTAAGTAGTGGTGGTGGCAGCAAAATTGCCGTCATCTCTTCTTTGCAGGCCACGAGCACTTGAACTCATGTGGCACTCAGCAAAATAACAGCCTCAACAATATCTTACCACTTACTGGTCTTTCGACTCCGGCGGAGTTGTTCGACTTTGCCCTGCAAAATTTTTATTGGACAGTAGAACTTTGATCCATTTCAGATGGATCAACCTAAAAATCTCCTTAACTCATTCTAATCACATAAAAAACACTCAAGAAATTAAAATTAGGTACTTACATACCAACACGACCTCTAGAATCGAATAACTAAAAATGGTAAAGCAACTCTAGAATTGATTTAAGGTGGTTAAGTCTAACTCAGGAAATGTTGAATGAAAAATTTAACTCAAGATTAAGTTTTTCTATCTGGACCAATGGGCAGCTTCAGCTGTCCACCTTTCCACTCAAGGTTCACTCTGGTACAATCAATCGTTTTTCTTTCTCTCTTCCTGCAATTTCGTTTTCCTAACAGGAACAAAATAGCTCTACTCTCGTCGTATAATTCCAGTGAAATTGCGAAAAGCAATTTTACTCCAAAATTTTTCAGCAACTTTCCCGCAATCTTCACTCGATTTTTCTGATGTATTTTTCTCGTGTTTTCAGTTGTCGCGAGAAACTTGAGCATGACAGTCTCAATTCGAAATTTTGAAAATTTACTTTTCTCCCCAAAATCAAGATTAAACGTTCAGCTCAAGGTCAAACTTCCAATTTTGACCGACTGGCACATACTCCCCGGACTCAAGATCGATGTCCTCCTCGCGTGTCGTCGTCTGTCAGTGAGCCCCCAGAATGATGAATGCATCTCAAGATACAGTGCCAGTGGTCATTTACAGAAGTTTGCAGCAGATTTAACTATATCTACACCCCAAAACTCCCAGCCAGGCAAAATTGTCACATTCTCGCTAAACAGCAATCGAAATCTTCATCCATCTGCACCCTAAATTCCAGCTTTACAAGCTATTCATTAAAATTTCTTTTATACTTTCCAATCAGAAAATTGTCGTGCAGCATTTTGATTTTTATACTAATTATAGTATAATAATAACAAAAGTTTTTACGTTAAAATTATTTTTTCGTGCCCTCAGATTTCATCTGAGTTCACATCCAAGCCCCATTGCCTTCCACGCTCAGGACTCAAGAACCAGCCCCTGAGCAGCCTGCTCAGTTCGCGCCCCCCGTCTTCGAGGTACTGGGTCAGGATGCACTCGACTCAGTAATTTGTCTCGACAATACTTCTTCATCATCGGAACTCATCACGATCTCTTCCCATCCCTTCAGTTGTTCGTAGGCTCGCATCCATTCCTTTTGCTCTTGCAGTCTCTTCGTCTGGTTTGGTAGACTCTTTACTTTCGATTCTCTGTTCAAGCAGAAGGAGTTGTGCAAGCTTAAGCTCACGTTCTTCGCCAGGTCCTCTTCCAGTATCGATTCCCTTGCTTTGGTATGATCTCTAGACCCCCTACCAACCCTTTTCCAACCGGTGGTTATCATCTTGCGATGGATGAGCAAAGGTGTCTTGAAGGCCTCTGGCCCGATCTCGGCATGGAACTGACGATATTTCTTTTGATGTTTTTTTGTATGATTTTTCGTCAACGTATACAGCCAGGATGTCAGTATCGCCCTAAATCATGAGAAGAATCGTATGCGACTCCACACGTGCCTCACCTCCATGTGTACAGCGAATAATTTGCTCGCAGTCTCAAATAAAGGAAGCCTCCGGCTATAGTCAATTGCATGTATCGAATCCACTGTTGGTGTCTTTAACTCCCGATACTTCGTTACGTTCTACTCAATCCATCGCAGCGCCAGCATCGAGCTCACCACGAAGACGGTGACTTTTTGTTGATGGTCAAGTAGTCCTATCGACCGATTCTCTTCAGCATCCCATATCAGAGATTTGACTGCTCCGGGTACCACACTGTCTGCGCCAGACAATGACATGGGCATTCTCCGTGCGTCAAGTTGATGCTTCGGAGGTTGCGCTCTCCTGAAGCTTCAAGCAAAGGTCCAAACTCCATCATCTTTGCATGCGTCACGTCGTTCTCATACACGGCTTGGGCACGATTTGTCGTCTTCCCTATCGTGTTCTGCCTCTCGAAGTCACTGGTGTTTTCTCTTTCCAAACTCATGAGCTGCTCCCCCCAGATATCAAGTCCTCCCTTCGATCCCCAGGCACCGCTCCCAGCACCTTCCGTAACAATCGATGTGAACGATGGGACATCCGCGCCAAGCGCACATACTTAGGCACCGAGAAAGCCCTGTCAATCAGCAGCCTCTGGCTAGACGCTTCCACCATCGCCATATGTAACGGATAATGACTTCCGCCCAAGCTCTACTCCCACCAGAGACTTCGCATTCATTAGTAGATTGTAGGCCTCGCTCAGGGGAAACCCCATCTGTGCCTCAAGGCCGATTTTTCATCCCTTGATATGTTTTTGGACCATCTGCAACACTCCAGGCCAAGACTCCACGCTCAACAGAATGGTGCTCGGACTCTAGCATCTCCAGTGACTCTAGACTACACATCCTTGAGATAAATCCCAATGTCGTCGCTAGATTCACGTGGTGCTCGCGTAACACTCAGCAACTATTTGCCCCTTCTCGGTGATGTCACCAAACCAAGTGGCCAGATCTTTGCTTTGAAAAGACTGTATCTTGACACAAGACTGTCCGTCACAAGAATGGTCTCCACCTCCACTAGCAAGATCAAGACAACTGCCTGGTTCCAGCTTCTTCGGCGACTTGTTCGGCTTATTCGTGATTTCTTCAGACTCTCTCCGATGAGGCAGGATCAGTTTGTGTATCACGTTCAGATTCCTCAAATCCTCATCCTTCCCTACTGACAGCCTCACATACTCCGTGACTTCTTCCTTCAAGCTTGCCTGAGGATGTGGACATCAAAATGGTCTCATCAACTTCCAAACAGTTCCCAAGTTCGAATACAATACGTCATCTTTGCCGCCCAGCCTCAGCTCCACCTTTTTGTCAGAATGCGGTACGCTGACGACCTCGGGTACCTTTTCAACCAGTAGACTTAGGCTCGGTCTTTCACTTTCTGCCGGATCGTTTTCGACTATCTTCTCAACCCAGAACTTCAATAGCTCCGTAACTTCAAAATTCATATAGGCAGCTCCTGCCTCCGCATCTAGGAAGGTGTTCTTCGATTTTCCCATTTTACCGGACACATATTGATACTCCCCTCGCTTCGTGGGTCTCGAGTAGTCTTCCGCCAAAACCAGGTCACGATGCACGTCATGGCTCTCCTCAAATTTCTCGTTCGAGAGCCGTCGGATCTCGTCCAGCTTTACATGGCTCTCCAGGGACTGCCTCGAACCATCCTCCTTCTCAATCCCAGTACTCTGATACACATTCAGGATGACGCTTGAGACTCTCTTTCCAATGCTTTACCTCCCGCTGAACTTTGATAGCATGCATGGATGGTAGCATCAGGTATCACCGACATGATCCATCACAAGAAACAGATGGCATCTTTCCTCCTCGCGAGACTCAGTCCCGAATTGTCTCGTGCAATATGTTGCATCAGCATTCGATACACATGCAGACCCTTATCGCCCAGTTTTAATTTATCGTATGAAGTCAAGGCTTCTAGCGCCACTCCCGCCAAGCTCTACGTAAACAGCAACCGCCCCGACGTCCTGACAAAGAGATTCGCCAACAGATATTTTGCCGACGAGGGTGCCCTCATCGCATCTTCAAAATAATCTAGCAACAATTCCTACCAGGATCGTCCCAACTGGTTCTTCAACTCTAGTTCATTCACTTCCGCCCTCTGTTGGGTAGCCCAATTTCGACGTTTTCTGAACACCCCGCGATCAAGCTTTTTCAGACAACTCTGCAGTTCTTTCGCAGTAACCAGGGCTATCCACCAGGGGCGAGCAGTACTTTCGAGGAGGTCAATTGCTACCTGCTTCCCAATGCCCTGATGTCGACTCGAGATCCACTCTTTGCCAATGTCTACTTCCCACATATGTCCACTGATGGAACATTTCTTCGCATTCACCTTTTTGGGTTTTGAAATTTTCCTCCGTCCCCGGGCTTGTCGCGTTTTCCATCTCGATCAATACTTCGCCCAAATTTCGGATCAATGTGTTGCCCTTGTAAGTTGTTTTCTTCCATCTCGCTAGAGCCATTGGAGCCGTCTTGTTCAGATGCTTCCCTGAAACCGCCTCCACCGAGGGACTCGCTTCTTCTATCTTCTATCTCCCGTTTCCTCTTCCTCGACCTCACTCCTTTACTCGGGCGCGTAATCGTAATCATCACAAAATCCACTTCATTATCCAGATCTCCCTCTTCCGACTCTTGCCTTCGCCTTCTCTAGCCTTAGAATTATAATATCTATAATTATAATATTAATTTTACTTTTTTCATCAATTTCAACCCTAACTTTTTTATTATCAGTCCTTTTCTTCGGAGTAGAGCTATCTTTACATGATTTAGCCTCGGCACTCTGCTTCTCCTTCCTCAAACGAACCATCTTGTCAAGCAGCTCCCCTCTTGCTTTCTCTCCCAGTCCAGTGGCCATCAAGACAGGTTCTCCAAATTCTACTACGATGTCCCAGAACTCTTCTTTGAAGTCATCCAATTTTACTTTTTTTCTACCTTCTGATTGAATTCGCTCAAGAAATTTTTCTATCCATTTTCATCCAGGTTATTCAGGAACATACTCTTATTGCCTTCGAAGGTGTTCTTTTTCCTCATCTCGTCACTCAAGAGTACCATACCCATGATAGAGGGTTCACTGGGTAGAGGCAACTCCAGATTTTTACGGGGAGATCCCAAGGGTGGGGTGGCGGTGTCAGCCCAATCGTCACCACTCAAGTCTTGCAGTAGCTCACGTGTGGTACCGGGACTGAAATTCCCGGCCACCGCCCCCTCCTCAGGTGTATTCTCCAACTAAATTTCTTCGCCAGCTTCACTGAGGATTTCATCCATGCTCTCTCCCTCTCCCGACTCATCTTGGTCCCTCCCCAACGCGTCTTTGAACCTATTCTCCACAGGAAGGCTTCTCTTGTGCCCAGGGATGCTGACGGATAGAGACGAAGGTGTCACCGGATTCCCTGCCTTGTATTCAGTTAGGGACACGAATAGGGTCCCTGCGGCATCCAGCTTGCGTCCCTCAGGTTGAAAGTTAGTCGCGCCGTCTCCGCCTTTTTCTGCAAAGTCGCGCCGTATGCACCGGGGTCTGTGCTGTCTCTTTTCTGATTGCTAAAATCTCGCCGCATCCACCACGCGAAAACTTGAAAGTGCAGTGTTTGGTCGCGCTGGCCGAGCCAGCACCGTTGCTTTCCGTGTCGCGCCGTTTCCTGAGTCGCGCCGTATCCACCATGGTCGCGAAAGTCGCGCCGTCTCCACCTCGGTCGAGAAAGCCCTGAAATTTTTTTTTGAAGTCGCGCCGTCTCCATGTTGGTCTGGAAAGTCTGGAAATAACTAAATTTGGTCGCCCCGGTCACGTAGGAGGATTATTTAGAAAAAAAAATCACAAAAATTTTGAAAAATATTTCAATTTTTATGGATGCTTCCTCCCTTTTTTAAACGTAAACACTAAAACTTAGACCTTAAAAAGCAGTCGGACGTTCAGGGTTTCTACCTGATACGATCAATTGTGTTACATTTGAGCACCGGACAGCAATATTTTTAAAATGCTATAGAAATTTTGGTCAAAAAAGTTTAGTCAAATAATGGATTAATGACTGAATAAAAAATACCAACCAAGCAAAAATATTCCGTGAGTTTGTTCAAAAGTCGGAACAAAAACCCAATTTGAAGCATCGAAAAGCGTGATTTCAGAAGAAGCTAAATTTAAAAAGCAAAAATAAATTGCTTTAAGGTGAAGAGGTTGGTATTAAAACGCTCTCTTTTAGCTTATGCTAAAGAGAGTGTTGCAAACAAAATCGGTTTTTATCATCGCATCATTTTTTCTATCATGTTCGTTTGTCTCATATTGAGTCTTGTTTTTATCATTAACGTATAGATTTCATCCACTTTTGAAGTTTCACAACATTTGTATATCCAGGCAGCGACAAAATAGGGTAGTTTTTTTTATAGCAGTAAGTATTAACGCAATTTATAAAACTGTCTCCATGTAATTTCACAAATTTTTGACCTTCAACCTCAATTTTAACTCAAATTGATGACTTTGCAAGCAGGTCCATTGCTAACCAAAAAAATTTGAAATTTCCTGAATTGATTGAAGTTAACATACTCCAGAGCCAAAAAAAAATTCCTGAGTTATCTAAATAAAAGATGTCTAAAAAGCTTATTTTTAGCCATTTAAAAAAGTTGCTTAACGAGACATCATTTATAAAACTGTCTCCATGTAATTTCACAAATTTTTGTTCTTCAACCTCAATTTTAACTCAAATTGATGACTTTGCAAGCAGGTCCATTGCTAATCAAAAAAATTTGAAATTTCCTGAACTGATTGAATTAACATACTCCAGAGCCAAAAAAAAATTCCTGAGTTATCTAAATAAAAGATGTCTAAAAAGCTTATTTTTAGCCATTTAAAAAAGTTGCTTAACGAGACATCATGAAATGTGAAGAGATTTTATCAGGGGCAGATTTAGGGCAGAACGCGTTTTTTGGTAAAAAAATTTCCAAAAAGATTTTTTTTCGAAAACTTGCCGCAGACAAAATTTGGTCCTAATAGGGTCTCTTATGGTGATTTGAGAGACCTCAGAAAATGCATTTGGCCGGCCTTAAATAAATCGACTAAATTTCGTCTATGAAGGATTCAACGCTTTAAACATGTAACAGTTTTGTCGGAACCATCAAAGAAAATGAAAGATCAAAAGAACAACAAAGGTAACGTCCCTATTGCGGATCCGGCTTACAATTCACAAAAAACGCAGTTTGGCCTCGTAATGATACACAAAAATTTTTGTATATCGTGATGTTTTTTTTCAAAAAAAATGCGAGTGATACTTCTAGATTTTTACCAACGCATAAAAAAGTGACTAAAATCTGAACTCACTGAAAACTGATTTTCCAGGTGCTTAATACTTTGTCTTTGCCGTATAATCATAATGCGTTTTTCAGCAGACTTTCAAAACCATTTGTGGAAAAACTCAAATTTGATTCTGTAAAAATTTTGTATTCTTCTTACTTCAGATTCATATGCAAAAAAAACTTTTCGAATAAAGTTTAAACTAGCGTAGTAATCAGGTTAAAAAATCAAATGGTAAACATCTGCGATGTTTGTTATTATTATTCTAACAACTAATCCGAAATCGGAAAGTTCTATAGCATGTGTTTTGTTTTTTCATAAAACCCTTTTAGCCGAGATTCTAAAAGAAAATCATCTCAATATCGAGAAAAAAAGAATTGATTTTTTTTCGAGAATCAAGTTTAATAAGTTAACAGCCGAAAAAAAATTATTGGAGGCTGATTGATCTTCATACTGAATTATATAGTTATTTTGGCCACAAAATTAGCGTTATATTAGCCATTAACTTTTACTTATTTCTGCTTTTTTATCATGTTCAGTTAGTTTTTTCTTCTAGATATAAAAAATTTGTTCAAAAAATTGACTAGATTATGATTTTTTCATTCTGAGCTAATCTTCCAGCAACTGGCCACTCTTGCTGAAATTTTAGCAAACGTAAGTACTCACGGGCTGCAAATATATTCGATTCAGGGCGGTTCCTGGGTCGAGATGCTAACTATAACTGTAATACCCTTAGGTATGTGCAATAATAATATTGAATCCGAACGGATTGGCGAGCTAACTATGAAGGAGGCTAGGAGCATAAATAAGACGACTGAATCATAAACTCTTTTTTTTTATCTTCTGATGACATACACTAAGCTCTTTGTTAGCATTGTCTTCAAGGTCAATTGACCAGCTCACCGCAGTGAGCCTAACAAATATCTATAAATAATGTATTGCCAATCCGGCCGGATGACAATAACTTTCGACTTTTAAAGTATATCACACGTCAGTGCTCAACCGAAAAAGAACACTCGAGGCTGTAGTTTGGGTCGAGAACAAATTCAAACGCGAACCACCAAAGGAAACATTTTTACGCTGTTTTTTGGTTGGCAGTGTTTTCTTTATCCGTGTTAAAGGACAATCTACATCTTGACTCACGGACCTTAAATTTAATTTACGATTGTTATTGTCCTTTAGTTAAGAAATTTCAGACCCTGACAAAGGGTTTTGTTAACCTAAGTACCATAATATATCTAACTAAAAATGCACCGCAGAATCGATTACATTTCTGCTGAAAAACGATGATTTGTAACCAGAAATTTTTTTGATTATATACAAGAATTAAGAGATTGAGAAGCTTTCTGAAGGAAAAAATCTCATTTCACCATGATCGAGGTGCTCTTTTCATGTTTTAAGTTTCAAAATTGTATTTGATCAAGAAATTCGAAACAAACTGAAGTTCGACCGAGACGATCAAAACACATGTGGTTTTTGGGGCCAGCACAGTCGAGCACATTTTTTCGGACGAGAAAGTCGAAATATGACCGAATTCGGGTAAGACGGTCGAAGTACGAGCATATTTTAGTTGACCGAGACGGTTGAAATTTATTTTTCTTTTAGCCAGCACGATTGAGCACTTCGTTTCCAAACGAGACTGTCGAAACAAACCCAAATTTCGTTGAGACAGTAGAAACATGCTGAATTTTTGTCTGGATGTTCGAAACAAACCTTCTTTTGGTTGAGACGGTCGAAACATAAAATGAGCACCTCGACCCGGATATAGTAATATTAGTTTACCAGTTTGGCTACATAATTGGCACATCGGTCGCATGAACCACGCGTGAGCCTGACCCGTAAAGCAATTGAAGTTAAATAGCAGCGGGCAAATCGCTTCCATAAAATGGTTATCAGGCGCAAATGGTATCATTGATATCATTGGTGAATGATGAGTCATACTCAATTATTGCACTAAAATGTACTTGAGAACAATTTATTATGATTAATATCAAAGTTATAAAATCTGAAGAATCGTAATTTTGATTTTGGTAAAATGAGTTGTTACAATAAAAAAATCGACTCAAAAAAGACTAATTTCGAATCATGCTGAAACCCTCTATATGACTCAATTTCGGATATCTTTCAAAAATATGAATGAATTTGACCTTTTTTTGTAAATTTTGACTCTACTTGATAACATGTTTCTAATTCATTCAGCTCAAGTTTTTTGTCTCAATGAGGTTCATTTCAGTTTATGTCCAGTTTATGAGCAGTAGATCAAACTTTGGTTAATTGTGTCTGCGCTAGTTCATTTCAGGTATAACTGAGGTGAGTCCCGGACATAAGCGGGACTTCAATCCGAATCGTAAAATTGGGGCTTCAAACCAAATTTTGTCTCATTCAATCATGGAATATGATTAATTTGAAGGCTTTTTTGACCAATTTTTCAATTTTTTGAACTTTTTTTACTTTTTATTGGCGTTTTGAAAAAACATAAGCCTCCAAATGCTGCTTAGGAAAGTTGATAAACAAAACACTGTTGAAGGCAATTTTCTTGTTTATAATTTATGCATTTCAAAAATCAGCTGATGTCA